CACCCTCATGACCTAATCACTTCCCAAAGGCCCCACCTCCTAATACCATTACATCTAGGGTTAGTTGCAACATATGAATTTTGGAGGGATGCAAACATTCAGTCTACAGCAACTGTCTTCAGATCTTTTCTTAAGAGCCGATTTTGAGAGACAGCACTGGTCACCCGAAAGACAAGCTGGGCTGTCTAAGGTAAACCATTACTTGCCCAGAATTTTGTCCAGGGCACAGCCCTGGCCAGTGCTATGGGAGACATTAAGGACCTCAAAAAAGCTTGTCATCTGAGTTTGGTTGAGAAGATTTAACTGTCTTCTGAAGTGATAATAAGAATCATAGAAACATGGAGAGGAATCTGGCAATAAGACACTTGCTCCTATCTCCAGGGCTTTTCAGGGCCTCTGTCAGAGTTTGGAAATGTTTTACCCCACCTTATGCTACTGGGTTTCTCACTTCTTGTCCTGTTGAGAGGCCTGCCTCCACTGTAGTGTGGGGTTCAGTGGTCACTAGCTCCACAGTGCTCCCTCTCCACCAGCAGCACAGCGGCAGGAAAGGGAAAGCTCAGACTAGAAGGCTGGAGATGCTTCTGGACCTATGTGACACTGGGGCCATGTCTATTGGTAGTTTCTGAGGGAAATGCACATGAGGTAAATGAGCCAAAATACTGAAAATGACTCAGTGTGGTTGCTTCAGCTATTTTTCAGTTATAAAAGTCAGGTCTAAGCAACTGTAATTATAATTCTACCAGACTGTAGTTCCACATATATGGCCATGGACTTGCAAGTTTGTTTGTGTCTTAATTGCCTGGTTTCTGCTCAACTAAGAAAATGAGAAGATGGACAATTCTGCAGGCTTTTAAATTAAGTGAAGGCTCTGCTGTAAATATAGAGCTTCAGGATGCTGGATACAAATAATGGGCACATGTACTATACACATGGCAGTATTACTCAACAACTGAAATAATGGCTCATGAAATGACTCTTCTAACTCCCATTATTCATTTCCTTCTTCTCCCTCTAACAGCATGATACTATACATTGCAGGGTTCTTATTTTACTCCTCATGTGAACCTTTGGCCTAGCAACTTATCCCTTGAGGCATGCTATAATCACTGAGAAATGTGCTCCCCGTCATGTCTTATTGCTTAATTATGGCTCTATTTTAGGCTCCCAGAGTCATTTGGCTTGGAAAGACCTCTCTTATGTGTGATCTTTGAACACGCATCCATGATGAGTTATCCTTGGGTTCACACCAGACTGTTCCATTTCCATCTCGTTCTGGCTTGAGCAGTAATTATTGCCTCTTGGTTCAGCAACACCTTGAATTATTGTAATGAGTTCTTACATTTATGTTACTCTCCTCATAAGAAGATACTATCAACCTTTTGTCAGAAAGGCATGTGCTTCAAGTTAATTTTTCCAATACTTGACAGGTTTTTTTTTGGCACTTATAAATCCTAGTGACATGCAAAAATCTCCCCTCTTTCCAATTCACTCTTTCTCTGATAACTACAATTCTTTAACTCAAAATCTGGATACACTGTCTGATAGAGGTTTTCTGTGGTTGTTGTTTTTGTTTTTTATTTGTGTATGTATTGTTCCCCAGTGCTAAAGGCAAACTGACAGATATGGCAGGTCCTAGATACATTCAGATTGCAAAACAACTGGATAGAATATTTAAAATTAGAAGTGTTCTAAAAATTGGGGACTTCTAGAGGATGCATCCACGTTCAGTGTTCCAATCACTTACTTGCCTCCCATTAATAAGACAGTATGTACTAGCCTTTGTTTTATGAGTGTAAATCTTAGTCCTTCAAGTAGACTATAAGCTTCTTAAGGACAAAAGGCACAAATCCTATATCTCTTACATAGCCCTGTCCATATATGTAGCTACATACAGTTGTTTGATCAGTTGCATAAAGAGACGATGTTGCATTTTCAAGACAGCTGTTTGGGATTAGGAGCTTGCAAAACCAGCCTGACATTAAGGTAAAGGCAGACTGGAGAACAGTGTCCTGCTTCCTCCCTCCAGAGAGCAGTTCAAGTCAGGCCTGGGGTAGATCCATGCTGAGTAGGGGTATAATTACCCTGGTCCAGAGTGGCCCCAGGTCTTGTCTGGCAGACTGAATTATATCTATCAGGGCCTTTTAAAATGCTGACTTGGCTCCTTAGAAATACAAAACCAAAAACATCATTTACAAAGGTCACTGGGAATGGCCTGGGTCAGAATAACTTGAGTCCGTTTTGTGCCAATGCCTCGGAAGAGGAAGTTGCTGAATACTTAGATAAAGCTCCTTGAGAGTACTACGTTGCTAAATCCAAACAAAGAATGAGAGAGGTTTATAGCTGAGTTTTTACTCTATAATTCAAATGCCAATCCAGCAATGAAATATGTTCTAGGAATTCCAATCAGAGATTTTTATCATCTGACTTGGAAACCAGCTGTGTGTCAGTGAGTGCAAAGATTTACCACCTGCAATTGCTATAATTCAGTAGAATTATACAAGTGAAAAACTCTGTCTTTACTTTAAATGCAATGAGAACCATGCTTTAAGAAATTCTGCTTCTCTGAAACCTACGAAAATGGCTATAATTTAAAGAAAGCAGTAAGGAATCGACGTATAAGAACTCTTAAATTCAAGAATTCAAGTTTACCCAAGTAAAAGTATGCTTTTTCAAGATAAAGAGTGAAAATTACCACAACTTCGTAAAGACTATCTTTTAAACAGAACAAGTGGGATAACACAAAGTAGTTAACGCCTAAATGACATATCACGTGATTAAGAGCCCTGATAACCTTATGCTCTATTTGAGAAGTGGAAGCAAGAGGAGAGGAGTTTAACACCAGAGAGTAACAGCCCTACAAAATGCCCCAATAAACTCATGGCAGTGATTTTGAACCAATAATTTCCTTCACAGAAACTAACAATTATTGCAGATTTGTGAGTCTATATATCAGAAATCTTTTGAATGTTATTTTATGATTTTAAAAGATATCAGGGCTATCCTGGAAAAGCCATTGCATATGGTCCTCATACCAATGAGGCCCCACTTCTCATTAATTTGCTCCTGTTCCTCTCGCACATGGGATACAGCTGCCTTGTACAAAGCTGATGCAATATAATTCCGTCACTTATATCATCACCTGAGCACTTGGATACCACGCTGGGGAAGCCAAGCAAGGTAAGTTTTTCAAAATACTGGAATGGTTTTGGTGGACCTTTTATAGACATATTTGAAAGCATTTCACAAGCACAAATATAATCCCTGCATGGATTATAAAGCCAAATTTTCAAGTGGAGGGATGTAGTGAACTTCATGGCCTGATAGATGTAAGAAACACATCAAGAGTTTAGAACTGCAACTTTACTAGCACTTTAAGACTAAAATGAGCCAGTTGGCCAACATGCCATAAGGGAAATCTCTGGCTCTCAAATTCTTCATCTGTAAAATAGGATGATTAAATCAGATGATCTCTGAGGTCCCATCCAATTCATTTATTTCATGGTTCTTATTTCTCCATATACCTTATAAGATCAAGTACTTAAAGTACTAAGACTTAGATTGTACCTACCTGTACCTGTACTTAGGTACAATATTACAGAGCCTCATTTATTGATGAAGTTTCTGTAACAGAGGCTCATACAAAAGTAGATAACTGTCTCTACCACACGAAGATCCAGAATGCATTATTTCCACAAACTGCTTAAGAATACATACTAAACTGTTTGAAACTTTTTTAAAAGGCAACTGCAAGACCACATCATAAATGCATTAGACTTGTTTATTCCTTAGAAAAATGAGCGTTTTGGACACTGAAGCTTTCAATTTTTATGTATGACATTCATAAATAAATACATGACTATCTACATAAATGCCTCTGTTTAGAGAAGTCAGTAATGGAAAGCTATAATCTCAACTCAAATGATATAATACAAAAATACAAAGCTCATCCACATCACTAGAAGATAATACCCTCAAACAAACTCATTTAAAAATAGGATATTCCCAACTTTTTCAGAAACTATTATGAATACAAAATTACATTTGTCCTTATCCTCTTTTATAGTTCTTTTTTTAAGACTTAAAATGCAATATTCGTACTTCCGGAATTCCTGAGAAACAGATCATAATTTAATGTAATAGTCACAGATTTTGTGACAAAACTACAATATTTATTTACATATTCACATATAGCACAAGGTAGCGGTCAAGTATGAGTGATGGTAATTAACAAACTATTAAAGTAATAAGAAAATCATCATTTTAACAATTTAAATGCCTTATGACAGGATAATTTATATCCAACATAGAAAACACATATTTACAATAACTTTAGAAAAAATATATCAATGTTTTTGATAATCAAAAATAGCAATAAGGTTTTCTATATTATTTTCAGCCTCACTCTAAAAATGTTTTCATTGTCTAAATTTAATCAATGTGCTGATTAAAGACAATATATTAACAGTAAAATAGTATGTGTGTGTATCAACTAACCAAAATTCAGGTTGTAAACTAAAGCCATTTAAAAGGCAAACTGAAGACAAAAGTAATGTCGGCTTAAGTTGTCTCTTTCTTTACATGAACTGCAATTTCCAAGTTGTGTTTTGTAATTTTAGTAAGATCCAAATAGATAATTCAACCTACTACTTTTGTTAGTTATTTCTTGTTCTGTCTCTTTTCCATGTTAATTTTTGAGGCCCTTTACTGATCACATAAAACAGTACTCTCAATCTCAATACTTCTCCCAGGAGAAGTTAAATGAGTCCGATTAGGTATTGAGTATCATTTTCATTTTACTTTTCTGTTTGTCTGTCTAAAAATACTCTTAGCCACGTAGTTTTTCTTCAGTTACTTGTTTACGTCAGTAATAAAGGTACATGGAATGAACTGGACCGAAGTCAAGGTGTACTATGCCCTTATATATAAAATTATCATAATTTGAGACTTTAGAAGGGTCAAACATGTTATACTAAACTAATCATGAATTCAAAAATTAATGCTGTTTTAAAGAGGCATTTATCATCAGAGGTCATGGCATAATCTACAACAGAAAGTTTACTTTACCGAATACCTTATTAGTTGAAAAGAACAAACACTGGCACGTCACGTGGTCAGAGCAGCTGAAACGTCATTTACAGTAGTTTCAACTTCTTGATTTGGGCAGTCTGGATTAAGAACGGGAATGCTATTGGACTTTTCACATTGTTCATCTACCTTTGGGGAAGCAGCTTGTTCTGGACGCTTTTTGTTCTCTTTAGCAAATCCTAATGTCACACTTTCCCCAGAAGACTGAAGTGGCCTCTCTAAATGAACCATTTGTTTCCTTGCTTCTGCTTCTTGTTCGTGCAGCAATTTCTCCACCTCCACCTCAAGCTCCAAAGTCTCCTCATCAGCTTGTACGTCTAGTTGTTGCATCAACTCCTCCAACTTCTTGGCCTTGCGGAGCTCATTTTGCTGTATGATCGTACAAAGGTGTTCAGTGAGTTGCTCTTTAATCTCAGTCTTACGCTGTAGATCAAGCTTTGCTGTAACATACTCGGCTTCAGCCCTGTCAAACCGTTTCCTGTAGAGACAGGTAGAAAGATTGGTCCATTAGTTTTCCACTGAGGAAGATATTCAAAGGAGGGCCTAGAAGCAATAATTAAATTCCAAAATTGGAGGGAAAAAAGGTATAATGAAGACATAGATATCAATACTTTAGGAACACTTGTCTACACGTCAGAAAAACTAAGCTATTGCTGCTAAAACTTCTAAAACATCCCCATTTGGACTCTCCTAATAGAACAACATTCTTCTGCATTCCTCTTTGCAAGGCTGTGCTTGAATAAAAGCAAGCTAGGAGGGTTAATTCAGTGGTGTGCTAGCCCCAGTGGGGGAGAGCCCTGATTAGTAGTGCTTGTCAATTTCTGTAATATAAATACTACCACCATGACCAATTTCAAGCTATCAACGTGACATCACTGAATGCAGAACTGGGAAGAGATACACAAAATCTGCTTTCATGAAGCAGTGCAAGCTAGCTCCAATACACAACTGGTTAAATTTATGAGCGGTAAAACAGTGAGAGAGAGAGAAAATAGAAAATCTGTATCTCTTGATTAATGGATTAGGAAAGAAAGAAAAATTTTGATGGAGAAGGATACAGACAGTGGTTGGGAGGTGAATATAAATGGGACAGGGAACACCCAGCAAAATGATACTGGGTGAGGGCAAGAAGTAAACATCACACAGAATAGAAAACTTCAGGATGGGTTTAGGAAGAGTTTCTCAACCCTGGCACTATTGACAACTTGGGCCATATAGTTCTTTGCTGTGGGGAACTGTCCTGTACATTGCAGGATACGTAGCAGCATCACTTGCTTTCTCCCACTGGCTGCCAGTAGCACCCACTAATTGTGATAACCAAAAATGTCTCCAGACATTACGAAATGTCTCCTAAGGGGCAAAACTGCCCCTAGTTGAGAATCCCTGGGTTAAGCCATTCTTACCCTCTCCACTCTGCAACAAAAGACTACTGTTAAACTTTTATTAGGACATTCTATATATTTACATATACATAAACTCCATAGACAGGTAATGCCAGTCTTATTTGAAGTAGAATAACTCTCATGGGGGGTCACCCTGTGATCTTCCTTTTTTTTCCTTTTGTATTAGGGTGATACAAAAAGAAAAGTGATCATATATCGGTTCATTGTCTTTTGCCTTTTCCACATAATTTGTTGCTTTTCTTTTTGCCAAGAAAAGAGGTTGATCCCCACTTACCAACTAATTATTCAATTTAATTACCGCTAACAGTTGTGAAGGCCATGCTGCCTTACCTGTTATGATTGCCTACATCAACTCAACAGTAAGCAATTTCTAGTACTAGAGTTATAGGAAAAAAGAAACAGGTATATCTCCTAACGAAAGGAAACAGAGTGAAAAAAAATCAAGGGCTTTGATTTTAGAGAAACTATGGTTCAAAGCCTGCCTTTGCCATCACTATGTGTGTACCTGTTTTGGTCAAGGCCTTTTCTGGATGTAAACAACAGATACCCAGTCAAAGTAGCTCAGGTGAAAAATTCTTGTAGGACACAAGAGGCAATTTCACAGGCATGTCATCAGAATCAAAGCCTATTCTCTTCAATGCTCAGAAACCAGTTTCTCTCATTTCAGCTTTCCTACCATACTTACAGCCCAATACGGCCACCAGCTGTGGCTCTACCTCAAATTCACTCCCCTCAATCTCTCAGTGTTCCAACTCCAAAATTCCAGAGGGAGGACCTGCATTGGCTTGGCGTGGCTCATATCAATTTAAACAGAGCTCTTAGCACCAGGCCATGCCATGAACCCGTGTTTAGCCTACGGATTAAATATTCTGGAGTCAGCAGCCCATCTCTGTTGATGAGGTGTGCCCCAAGGTCAGGATCACGAGTACGAAACACAGCAAGGTTCCCGTGGAAGGGGCTGGAGAAGAGGCATGCAATGGCTGAAAATTCTAGTACAGTGACTCCAGGGAGTTTCTTCAACTGACTTCTGGCTTATCTGTAAAATGGTGATAATAACATTTCATAGGAGTGCTGAGGACTAAACAGTATAAATAAGGCAAGCGTCTAGCCCACTGCCTGGCAGGCACTCAAGAAACAGAACTTCCCCTTCAGACCACCCAAATCAAAAGGTACTGGTAGTATATCACTGAACATGTATCTAAAATTAGAATTATGTAAAACTTAAGGACCCGTGTTTATATTTGAAAACTCTTATTTACATAATGTTAATTTATCATATTTCATATTTTTACGTCATCTACTAAACATAAGAATGAGAAAACTAGCTGTTTTTCAATTACTCCCACGTTAAAAGAATTGTTCTAAAGGAGCTCTGTTATCTATCTGCATCCCTTATTTCCCACTTATAACATATCCTGTTTATGAACGTTCTTACACCAAGCTTAAGAGCTCTGACAAGATTCTCTATAGATATATGAATACCTTGCCCCTTCCTCCCACTCAAACATCCCTTCTCTGCAAGTCTGTGGTCTCCTTCAGCCAGTCAAAGTTAGTAAAGATTTACTGACTGGGCTCATGAATGCTGAGTTGAAATTAAAATTTCCAAATAGGTCCCTAGGCTTCCACTGATCTTTCACCCTGGATAAATCACTAAAGATTTTGCATTTTGTTTATTTATTTAAAGTCTTTCCAGCCAGAAACATGCATATATATTCTTGTACAGAGTGACTTATGTTTAAAATATTGATTAGTTTCACAAACTGTACTATGAGCCTGGGGGTCAGGTGGATAATACCAAATCAGAGTATGATGACATACTTTGGAATGGAATAATAAGACCATTATACATAGCACAGTAAGATGAATTGAACTGGAAATGTAATCATAGAATAATTTTGCTATTTTAAAGGGACAGTGAATGATTTAATGAATGTTATTTAAAGGATTCTAGAAACTGCCTCTTGGTTTTTGTATCACTGAAATTTTTTAAAAACTCAATCATTAACCCTTGGCATGCCGTTAGGTTCCAATGATCCACTTTTAGTCTTCCAGTTCCTTTTCTGAGCAGGTAGAACTTCTAAGGATCAACATATCATGATTTTATCCTTTCTTAGAAGTCTTCCAGAGAACAAAGAGAAAATTTACTTATATTTTTAAAAAATAGAATAAAACTATTTTGCAATTACTATATGGCTACACTGGACCCTTTTATAAATCTAAAATACATTTTGAGATTGTTGAGATACTGTTTTTCCTATATCTTGAAACATTGTGCCATTTCATCACCCTAGGAATTACTTCCTCATTACTCATCAATTATTTGCATTTATGCTAAAAAAATTAAAATAATAAGAAAACAGAAAATGATGAAATGACCTAAAAGGATGATGCTATAATGAAATAAATCATCATCGTTTAGTTTCCTAACCGTGTTGTTCAATGTATTACATTACCTTTCAAGAAGGTATAAAAGAAGACTGGAAACATGATATTTGTAATCTGCTCTCGGCTTTCACTGAACACAGTTGAAAATTAATATTTTTCATTTTCTGCCCATAATGGCAAAGTAAAGAAAATTGACAGATGAAGACATTTTGCAGTTATTGGACAAATCAAAAGATGAATGTTGTGGTAGGCTAAAAAATGACCCCCCAAAGATATTCACTTCCTAATCCCCAGAACCTGTGAATATTACCTTAAATGGCAAAAGATGTGATTAAGTTAAAGATTTTTAGAGGGGTTTGGATTATCCAGTTGAGACCTAAATGCAATCACATGTATCCTTTTAAAAAAGAGGCAGAGGAAGTTTTGAGAGAGAAAAGGAGGAAGCAATGTGTTTGTGGGGCAGAGAACTGAGTGGTGTGGCCACAAGCCAAGGAATGCCCACAGCCTCCAGAAGCTGGAAGAGGCAAGAAAAGGATTCCTCCCTAGAGTCTCTGAAGGAAGAGCAACCTTGCCAACACCTTGATTTCAGACTTCTGGCCTCCAGAAATGTAAGAGAATAATTTTCTGTTGTTTCAAGGCACCCAGTTTGTGGTAATTCGTTATGGCAGGCCTAGGAAATCAATACAAATGCAGAGACAAGACAGTCTAGATTCTAGATAGTAAAACTGATCATATAAGTGAAAGCTCAGAGTACGTCTTCAGAAAAATACATCCTAGATGAATTTTCTCAAATTCAAGAATCAATGAGTGAAAAATCTATTTCTGAGGATAAAAAGGAAACATGCTGTTCTCATAGAGTTAATAATTTCAACAGGAAGAACTTAATCACAAAATATTTTACAAGTACCTGGACTATTATCCTGTGTTGATGAAAGGACGCAAGCACATTCTTTCAGCTTTTTAAAATGTTTGGAGCCAAACATTACTTGATACACAGAGGTCTGCTGTGCTTGCATTCTTATTAAAAATTTTAATAAAGTTGTTTTCTACAGTGTCTTTTATTCTTACTTATGTAAATTATTCATAAAATGACAAAATATTTATGTATATACGTGTATGTGTGTATGAGAGTGTCTATTAAACATAGATGGCAAATAGTGATAATTGTTTTCCTGGTATACTGAAGGTTAAAGAAATGTTCTACACGCAGCTACTCAGTTTGACAAGCTGGTCTGCACAGCATATGGCAGCACTGTAATCATAGCTGTGAACAGCAGCAGCAACAACTCTCTTAAGCTGCCTCACTCAAAGTGCTGGTCTCCTCAGAGGTGTCTACCCTGACATGGCTCTACAAAAGCCAATTTTAAAGTGAACTCTGGCCTATTCAGTATCCAAGAATCTTTTGTGGACATAGCACTGTACCAGGTACTATAGAACCATGATAGTATTTTTACTTAAAAAAAAAATTAAGGCGGGGCCGGCCCCATGATGTAGCGGTTAAGTGCACACGCTCTGCTGCTGGCGGCCCAGGTTCGGATCCCAGGTGTGCACCAATGCACCGCTTGTCAGGCTCTGCTGTGGCAGCATCCCACACAAAGTGGAGAAAGATGGGCACACATGTTAGCCCAGGGCCAGTCTTCTTTAGCAAAAAGAGGAGGATTGGCATGGATGTTAGCTCAGGGCTGATCTTCCTCACAAAAAAAAAAAAAAATTAAGGAAATCTCCCACAGAAACTGACTGCCCTGGGGATTACCTTCCCATAGAAATCTAGACCATAATGTTATATCATTAATCTATAATTTCTCAATAACCAGAGATGTAAATTTAGAAAATGTTGTCTTAATCTTATGCATGAACAAGATACAACTCTGGTTCTAGTCACAATTGTCTGTGGCTTCTCTTTGACTTAAATCAAGAGCTTAGGTTTTTAAAAATAGCCTCATACATACAATATGCATATTCACATACAACTATATGTCAATATCATCTTTAGTTTAAGAGAGGTAAAAATTTACCATGGAAAATTTTGTTACTATGTAACAATTTACTAACATTTCATTAAAAATATTTATATATTATGGATGTTTTCTGCTTTAACCAGTAATCCCACCTTCTTTGTGGTTCTCTAAAGGCTAAGACTATGCCATTTCTTACATAATGTTCAACCTACAAAGGCATCCTTCTCCAGCCTTCTCTAGAACAGAAATAAAATATAATCAGATGATTTTTTTTGGTGAGGTAGCTAGAAAATAGTCTGAATTATTCATATAAAGGGGTAAAAAGGCATAAAAATGTTCCTCTGGCAAACTTAAGTTACAGAGAATACAATGTGCTAAAAATCTAGGCTTAGTTTAATCTTAATAAAATCTTGGTTACCTCCTTAATGACCTTATTAATAGAAATCTGGAAAGTCCAGTTATCAGCTACTGATGGCATTAATTTCGGCAGTTAATTAATAAAGGCAGCCCGTTAAGCTAACAGCATATGGTCAAACAACAATTACAAAAATCACAAGGACACCACAAACCTCTTTCTTAAACAATAAACAGTGAATTAAAAACCACAATCAAGCATTTCCGCTTTATTAAATTGTTATATAAACATTCTGATGCCGTGGTTTACCCTGCTCTAATGAGGCATTCTGATTGATTTCTAGTGTTACAGAGAAAGATGCAAAACTGAGTTATTAACACAGCATTCTCTTGTGAAAAAAGACAAACCAGGATGATTAAAGCAATGTTGAAAGGACTGAAAACCCTGAAATTGGACTTAATTTTTTGCCCTTTTATCTATTTGCAAAGTTCATGTAATTCTTTACATGTGTTATTTCATTTAAAAAATACTCCACGATGATTTTTTCTCTTTAAAAAAATGCCAATGGTTGAAACCAAGGAAACACATGATAGCAAACCATTTTATACAGAGTATAATCAAAAAGAAAAGAAAAACAAAAAAAAAACTTCAAGCTTTCAAGACAGAGTGGTATTTTCTTTAAAATACTCATAGGCTTTTAAAAAATAAACTAGATCATTTTTTGATGAAAACTGAAATGAGAACTAGGCTAATCCCCAAGGACCATCTCAGATAATGAAAATTTCTTAATAGAAAGAGCATAGACTTGATGTTAGAATAACAGTTTTGGGGCAAGTCATTTAGACATTTAAAGAGTCCCAAACATTAAATATCTGATGGTTTAGCAGGAAAGACTAAAATGTAAATAAATAATGCAAGAAATGCTCTAATAGGAACATGAATATGGTTAATAGGTAGAGCAGAGTTAAGGAAGACTTAAAGAAGAGGAGACACTTGATTTAGTATAAATCAGGAAGAAATACAGCACCTAATGGAGTTGTTACCAGGCTTAAATGATGATATACATTAAAGCTCCTGGCCCAGCTAGCAATAAACATTAATTAAACTGGATTCCTTGTTCAGAGTTCAATTTTCCCAACTCACTGAGCGTATGAATAGTCGAGGCTGGCCTGATCAATCCGGTTCCTGAGGATGCCAATGTCAGCTGACACCATGTCATCTAAAGCCTGCAACTCCTTCTGGATCCGCTTTAGTTTCATGGTCTCTGCCTGAGTTCTTTTAGATCTAGAAAATCAGGAACATGAGTGAAAAAATAAAAACATTTTAAGATCATGTATCCATACACAAAATAAATGAAAAAAGCAAGCTATTGCATATATAATATGATTATAATATATAATTTTTCAAAATTAGAAAAAAACAGAAAAACTGAAATGTTGATAACATTTTGATATATCTCTAAGACTGCATTTGTGCTTTCTTCCCTTATTATTCCAAATTTTCTGTTAGCATATATTATTTTCATACACAAGGGAAAAAGATTAAAAAAATACCAATAATTAGTTCTCTTATAGTCTATATTCATTCCATAAAGATGAAAATAAGCACTAAAAGAATATAACTGTATTCTCTTTACTTTGAAACACCCAACACAGCTTTCCAAATTTCCAGCCTTAAATTCTTGTGGCTAAGCCCATTTTCATCTGGCTAATACTCAGTGGACACCAAAACAAATGCCTACATTAAACACCATTTCTTTATATGTCTGAAAACATCTATTTGGCTTTAACTTTCTTAGGACTCATTTCTCCAGACTTTTACTGCTTTGATTCTTGTTCTTCAGGCAAAACTACAGGTCCTCAAAATTCTTCTTTCTGGGGCTCAAAACCAAACACTCTCTTTTTTTCCTTGTTTAAAAGCACATCCAACCTCATCATCTCTCAGTCCCCTCACCACCCCGAAGTATATTACGCAATTAAAAAACAGAATAAACAAATACAAAAGCCAACCTTTAATCATGATTTCACTCATTTCAAAATTTCACACATATTCTCACAGAAAAATAAAACTCTCACATAAAATCACTATATCGCAACTTACATTCTCCTGATTTCTAATCCATTGTGCGTTTACCCTTGTTTTCTGCTTACAAAAGTTAATTTAACAGTATGATTCTTTCACTTCAAGTACTTCTGTCCATTTATTAATAATCTAATCAGGTTATATTTCCTTATGCTTTTGGCTACATCACTGCCGTCTGTCTTAAATCAAAAGCACATAGAGAAGAAGAAGTGCTGACCCTCTAAATCTTTTTGTAAAATCCCCAGCAAACAGCCTCCCCAACCTCTTCCAAATTGAAGACTACTAAAATGCTTTTCAATAATCACGGTGTTTTTTTCCTCCTTGAAACATAATAAATTTAATAAGCTGCATATTTCCCATGCTTCATGAAAGATCAAGCTATACCAGTAGAAGAAAAAAAAATTACTATTTTCAAATACATATATCCCTTTGGCAGATAAATTCTGAACTGCTCTTGTACCCACCTGCCTTTATCTCCATCCCCATCCTTTCCCCTCCCTGTGACAAACAGGCCAGCTTCAATCAATAATAGTTTTGCCAGACTTTTCTGGAGATCTAAAAAGAAAATGCCACTGAATCTTGCTTGCATTTAGTTCTCGCTATTCTCAATCCTTGCTTTATTGACTAAGCTTGGTTTCTGAAGGCCACAGCACACTAGAAACCTCAGACTAAAAAGGCAGAAAGAGTGGGTAAGGGATAGGAAAGTGGCTCAAATGGGAATGCTGCTGTCTGAAGCCAGTACCATGCAGTAGGGGAAGAGGGATCGCTGCTCAACTCACAGCAGAGGTGAGAGGAAAACTGAATCACACACAGGACGGGAGAGTGCTCATAACAGTGACCCTGAGTCACTGGTAAAAGGTTAAAGTAACCATGGATCTTCTATTAGTGGGGGCAGGGCAAGTTATTTAAGAAAAATGTTGATAGGAAACACAATTAATATTAGTGAGAGTGTAAGTCACTTATGTGGGATATTCTCATTCCTCTACATGTCAGATGATTAAGGCCTCCCTATGTCAAAATTAAAACTTGCATTTGTTGCTAATTTACTTATATTGATAGCTATTTACCACTCCTCTATGAATGCGTAGATGGTTAAAACTGAAAACACTAATGCTGATCCTTAAGTTTTAATAGCACCTGTATTCATAAATTCAATATGATTTATGCTTAAGAAGTCCTCCTTAATAAATTAACACTGGAATTTCACTATCATTTATAAAGCATAAATTGTTTAGTTAGCCTTAAAAGGAATGGTTGTAGAGAAAACGTCAGTTTATTAGAACAAAGACACGGCAAAATAAATATAAAACATGACAGAGCTGATTGCAGGTTACAAATAACCTCTCCTGGTTCAGGTGCCTCACCTTTCTGCAATAGCTTTAGCCAAAAGAGCTTTCTTACGTTTATTTTTCTCTTCCATTAGCCGTTGTTCTTGTTGAAGAACTTCCCAACGAGACTTTTCTTGCCTAGGGAGCAAAAAAAGTATAAAAATGAGTTTCTGAAACACCATCCCACACCTTACCAGTCTGTCCCCTAAAGTATAAAATTTAATCACCCAGATTATGTATATTTTCTTTCAAAAGTCCTCTTAAAAGGAACCCATCTGCAGCTCATTATTTTGCTCTAATAGGAACAAAGACTATGATTTGAAGTAAAGAAGGCTTACATAAATTGGCCCTTTGAAATCCATTATATATACATAATCTAGGAACCCACAAACTGGAAGCAAGAGTACTGTGGCATTTTTTTAGGAGTACAAGGAAACTTGTGTAAATTAATTATGTATTATATGCAGAATGGAGAGCAAAATAAATTGGTCTGTAGCTAACCTCATGGCATAGTTTTAGGGTTTTCTATAATGAAAGTTTCCACCATGTAACACCTTTAGGACAACAATCAATGTTTATTTCATTATTTTCTTTCAATTTGCTCACCTCTTTCCAGTTCTTAAAGATTCTTAAACAGAGTGACATTATGAGCTAAGAGTTAAATGCTGGGCTAAAGAAAAACTTCAAAGATCTGAAAACATAAATTGTCTTCTAATCTAATTCTGAAAGAAGTATATTAAAATTTCCCATAAATTCATGAACTTGATGTCAACTCAAATTAAACAAGGTAATGATAAAGCTATTTATTCCTATTATTTTCATTTCTTACAGCTATTACATCAAAAATCTCTACTCCCAGACCCAGTAACAGCTTCTAAAGTTATCCTTTTCTCTCCATTCCTACAGCCTCCACCTTAGTGCTGGCACTGGTCCTTTCTCATTTTTACTACTGCAGCATCTCCTCATCAGATGCCTTAGTGCCAGCTTACCAGCATCTTATCCCAAATGGTCTGCAACATTGACACCTGGATTTTCTCTAACCATTATTGTGATCAGGGCATCTCTCCTTCAGACACCGTGGTGGTTTACTACTGCCATCCTTTCTTCCCTATGAGTGATAAATCAGGAGGAAACAAATAAAAGTAGATATAAAAACAAAAGCTATATAATAAAAATTCTGATTGTAAGAATTCACAAGTCATAGAATGGCAATTTCTACAAAATGTGACTAAACTAAATTCTGGAGGTGGTTTCTAATGCAAACACATTAAACAAAGAATTAAAAAAACTAATGATGCAGCTGAATTACTTAATTAATGCCCTCAATTTCCTACACTCTTTCCTTTGACTACCCCTTCATGTCTCTTCACAAGTACCCTTTTCTGGGCCAATGGAGATGCAGTCTGGAAGCTGAAGAATGGGTTCAATTTGGGGAGGAGTAAGTGTAAAGCGCATAGACTTTGGATCTAGAGAGACTTCTATGTGAAACCCAACTCTGCTACCTATTAGCTGTGTATTCACTTTGGGAATATAATATCTCTTCTGAGTCCAAGATATCTCATCTGTAAAGTGAAAATAATGAACACGCATCATGAGGCTGTTGTGAAGACTAAATGACATAAAAGCATACAAAATGCCTAACACTGACTGGGCTAAAATATATTTAAGTGGTAGGTATTTTTCAATAGTTTATTCATTACATTTCTAGCTTAGAATACAAAATAGAGAAAATGTTAAAACTATTATTTCTTCAAAGCCCAGTGTGGAAAAAAAGGTTAAATGGAAAAAAGCCTCACAATATATAGACTTACTAACAATTCCACTTTCTTTTTCTCCAATTTGCAATCTGGCTTTGGAGGTAGAACCTCAGCATTTTTGTGACCATCAAGGGAATTCTCGAGTCCCAGCTCCCCTGGTTGACTTTCAGTACCCTGTGGTTTTCCATCCCCAACAGGAGAGGTGAGTGTAAGAGCACTAGGAGGAGTAGGGGGAGAATGTGGTTTTTGAGTATTAAATTTCTGTTTTGGCGCAGAAAGCAGCTGCTCTGGAGGTAATGAAGTTGATCCATCTTGAAGTCCAAGTTTTTGGCTTTGCTCCTGAAGCGCTTTTTCTCGATGAAGTTGTTGTCGACTTTTCTTCACAGGGAGACGCCGCTGTGGTCCAAATGGATCTAATACAAAAAAGAGAATGGAGGAAAATTCCTCGTGTAAGTAGCAAATAATTATAATTTCTCCAATAAAATAATGCATCAACATTAAACTTTGATAATAATTCTAAAGAGTTTTTCCCCCTTTTCTATCTTAAAAGCCCAGGGGAAAACGGCCATCTTCCTGCAGAGTTTCAACAGTTCTCCGAACATACTGTTAATATTTAACAAAAACTGTGCTAGCTCCCAATTGATCTTCAGGGAAGTCCATTTGTCTGTGAGTTAGGCCTTTAGGATACAAAGCAAGGTTCCTTTTTCAACTTGACTTGATAATTGTCAAAAGAATCAACTAATTTGACCAAAATAGGTAAACAAATGAATTCTTTGAAATGTCTTAAATTTGATTTATGGTTCTGTCTGCTCTCTTGAAATAAAATGGTGGTTGAGTTTTCAAATGGGCTTCACCCTCCTTAAATTTTAACAGATCTCAGGGCAATTTGATACACAGGTAGACGCTACAGACAAAGTATAACTGAATGAAGTCTCTTATGTCTAGGAACGCTAGTTAACCCTAATTTGTTTTCTTTCATCTTCCAGAACAGTGCAAGGTTGTGTTCCTGAAGTCTAAGTTAGCCTTTAAGCAATGTATGCAAGCTAATTTTAATAGCAGCCTGAGCAAAGCAATAGAGGAAGATTAACAACTGGGAGAAATTTTTTTAAAAAGCATTAAAAACCAAATAATAATAATTCTATTATACTCTTTGGATTGTCCATGCCAGCGTTAAGCTTGTAAGGCAGACAACTGAAGAATCTGACTCACATTCATACTATATTTAATAAGATCTATAAATGGTATTCTTTACAAAATGCCTGGGAAATGAAATTATAAGTTCTTGTAAATGAACTCAAATAGGGCTTTTAAATTCTGCATAGTGACCTCCGAAGAAACACAAACTTATTATTTAAATTTCCCAAAAGAGAGTTAAAAGCTCTGGAGTCACAGTTCTGTGTTGCTTTTGTCCAGCTCAGTAACCTTAGGCAAGTCAATTAATTATTTCCTACCTCAGTTTCCTCATCTGTCAAACTGGTTGAAAATTTACGGGCTCTACTTAACTCATGGAGTTGGTGTGAGGATTAAATGAGATACATAAAGAAAATATTTTTAAAAGATAGACATACTATCAAAAAAGTAAAATGGGGGCTGGCCAAGTGGTGCAAGTGTGCGTGCTCTGCTGTGGTGGCCTGGGGTTCGCCGGTCCGGATCCTGGGCACACACCGACACACTGCTTGTCAGGCCATGCTGTGGTGGCGTCCCATATAAAGTGGAGGAAGATGGGCATGGATGTAGCCCAGGGCCAGTTTTCCTCAGCAAAAAGAGGAGGATTGGCAGGTGTTAGCTAAGGGCCGATCCTCCTCACACACACACAAAAAAGGTAAAATGTCACAGGCACACCTCATTTTATTGCTCTTCGCTTTGGCTTCGCAGATAGTATGTTTTACAAGATCCTCCACCAGCAAAGACTATGACTCACTGAAGGGTCAGATGATGGTTAACATTTTTTAGCAATAAAGTATTTTTAAATTAAGGTATGCAGATTGTTTTTTTAGACATAATGCTATTGCACACTTAACAGACTACAGTATAATGTAAACATAACTTTTATATGCACTGGGAACCCAAAAAACTCATGTGACTCACTTTATTGCAGTGGTCTGGAACCAAACACGCAATATCTCTGAGGTATGTCTGTATTATTGTTGACTTTAGCCAGAAACACAAAGTAGCCTCCTTTATCTTGCAACAGGAACTTATCCTTGGCTACTGAGCTTTTATTCACATCATCAGAAAATGTCATTGAGCCTGCTTACCTCCCAGTTACACTCATTAGCTGAATTAATAGTCCCTGTGTAATTTGGTAATACAACTTCCATTTTTTTTTTTTTTTTTTTGGTGAGGAAGATTGCCCTGAGCTAACATGTATTGACAATCTTCCTCTTTTTGCTGAGGAAGATTGGCTCGGAGCTAACATCTGTGCCTATCTTCCTCTATTTTGTATGTGGGACACCGCCGCAGCATGGCTTGATGAGCGGTGCGTTGGCCTGCGCCTGGGATTTGAACATGTGAAGCCCGGCCGCCAAAGAGGAGCACGTGAACTTAACCACTACACCAATGGGCCGGCCCCAAGTAATGCAACTTCCATTTTATTTTGCATTTTCATCAAACCTACCTATGAAATTAAAAACACTAATTTTTTAAACTCTCAATTAAACAAATCAGGCCCTTAAAAATAGAACATATGACCAAAAAACTCCTGGAACTAATAACCCATTATAGCAAGGTTGCGGAATACAAGACTACTATACAAAAGTCAATCCTATGTACCAGCAGTGAACAAGTAGAATTTGCAATGAAAAACACAATATCATTTACATTAGCACTCAAAAAAAACTGAGATACTTAGGTATAAATCTAACAAAATATGTACAAGATCTATATGAGGAAAACTACAAACCTGATTAATGAAATCAAGGACTTAAATAAATGGAGAAATATTCCATGTTCATGGATAGGATGACTCAATATTGTCAAGATGTCAGTCTGTCCCAACTTGACCTATAGATTCACTGTAATCCCAATCAAAATCTCAGCAAGTTACTTTGTAGATATTGACAAACTGATTCTCAAGTTTATATGGAGAGGCAAAGACCCAGAATAGCCAACAAAATATTGAAGAAGAACCAAGTTGGAGGGCTGACATTATTTGACTTCAAGACTTAATACAAAGCTACCATACTCAAGATGGTGGGTATTAGTGAAAGAACAGACAAACAGATCAATTGAACAGAATAGAGAGTCCAGAAACAGGCCAACATAAATACAGTCAATTAATCTTTGACAAAGGAGCAAAGGCAATACAATTGAGCAAAGACAGTTTTTGCAACAAATGGTGCTGGGACAACTGGACATTCACATGCAAAAAAATAAATCTAGACACAGACTTTACATTCTTTACAAAAATTAACTCAAAATGGATCACAGATCTAAATGCAAAACCCAAAACTACAAAAGCCTAGAAGATAACATAGGAGAAAACCTAGATGACCTTGGGGTATGGCAACGACTTCTTAGATACAACACCAAAGGCACTATCCATGAAAGAGATAATTGATAAGCTGGACTTCATTAAAATTAAAAACTTCTGCCCCGCAAAAGGCAATGTCAAAGGAATGAGAAGACAAGTCACAGACTGGGAGAAAATATTTGCAACAGACGCATTGGATAAAGGACTATCATCTAAAATATACAAAAAACTCTTGAAACTCAACAGTAAGAAAACAACCCAATTAAAAAATAGCCCAAAGAATTTAACAGACACCTCGTCACCAAATAAAATATACAGATAGCAAATATGCATATGAAAAGATGTTTCAAATCATATGCCATCAGGAAAATGCCAATAAAAACAACAAGATACCACTACACATCTATAAGAATGGCCAAAATCTGGAACACTGACAACAACAAATGCTAGTGAAGATGTGGAACAACAGCAACTCTCATTCATTGATGGTGGAAATGCAAAATGGTACAGTCAGTTTGGAAGACAGTTTGGCAGTTTCTCACAAAACTAAACATACTCTTACTATACCATTCAGCAACTGCAATCCTTGGTATTTACTCAAAGAAGCTGAAAACTTACGTCCACACAAAAACTTGAACATGGATGTTCACAGCAGCTTTATTAATTGCCAAAACTTGAAAGAACCAAGATGTCCTTCGGTAGGTGAAAGGATAAACAAACTATGGTACATACAACAGAAGATTATTCAATGCTAAAAAGATATGAACTATCAAGCCATGAAGAGACATGGAGGAAACTTAACTGCATATTACTAAGTGAGAGAAGCCAATCTGAAAAGGCTACATACTATATGAGTCCAACTATACGACATTCTAGAAAATGGGAAACTATGGAGACAGTAAAAAGATCAGTGGTTACTAAGGGTTGGGGAGAAGGGAGGAGGGATGAATAGAGAAGAGAGGATGTTTAAGGCAGTGAAAATACTCTGTACAATACTATAATGATGGATACAGGTCATTATGCATTTGTGCAAACACACAGAATGTACAACACCAAGAGTGAACCCTAATGTAAATTATGGACTTGGGTGATAATGATGTGTCAATACGTAGGTTCATCAATTATTAACAAATGTGCCATTCTGGTGGGGGATACTGATAATGAGGATGACTATGTATGTGTGGGGGCAGGAAGTATATGGGAAATCTCTATCTTCCTCTCAATTTTGCTGTGAACCTAAAGCTGCTCTAAAAAAATAAAGTCTTTAGGAAAAAAAACTGGGACATACTGTTTCTGATACTTATATTGGGGGCTGCAAATATCAAAGAGACTGTGGTAAACCAAGGAGAACAAATCTAATTTAAAGAGAACAATCCGTAGCCACCTCTAGCCATTAAAAATGGCTTCTGTCATTTAAAAGTTTAGGTCAGTGTTACCAGACATTTTGATTTTTCACCATAAAAATTTAGATTTCTATGTAAAATATCCTGATTTTTAAATGTAGGGAATTGTATCAATCAAGAAAATCTAGATTATGCTATCGGGTAAAGAACTCTGGAATCTTTGTGGTTTTAAACAACAAAGGTTTATTTCTCATTAACGCCATGTACCAACTGAAGGTCAGTAAAGGGGCCCTGGTGTTCAGTCTTTCAGGGCTCCAGGCTGACTGTATAGCCACCTTAGTGTCACTAGCCTCCATGGCAGGGATAAGAGAGAGCTCAGGAAGGTCTTGCTCTAGCAACTAACTGCTCTGACCCAGTAGTGACATAACACTTCTGCTCACAGTTCAATGTGGAACTAGCACTTGGTCCTACCCAAAAACAAGGGCAATAGAAATATACTGGGAAGAGAAGTGAACTAGAAGTATCTGGCAAACAGCACTAATGATTATCACCACTATTAATTTAAAAAGAAATTTAAAGATTAGATAATCCAAAAGAGAAAAAGAAAAAAATTGAAAAGACAAACATATTTTTGGGCCAAATTAATAGCCTGTTGGCTATGAGTTTGTGATCTCTGCTCTATATCCTTTAAGCCTTGCTCTCTCCACCCAAGACAAGCATCATTTGAATCACGTGTTGATCATTCCTTTCCTTTGCTTTTTATAAGTCATACCGTTTCTACAAATATTTCTAAAAAATTTTATTTAAAAAATTTTTTTTGCTGAGGAAGATTCGCCCTGAGCTAACATCCATGCCCATCTTCCTCTACTTTTTAGTATGTGGGCTGCCAGCACAGCATGGCCACTAACAGAGCCATGTAGGTCCACACCCGGGAACCAAATCCAGGCACTGAACTTAACCACTAGGCCACTAGGGCTGGCCCTAAAAAATTTTCTTTTTATTTAGTTGTTTTAACTTTATAAAAAGCATATCATACTGTACATAATGTTTTTTTAACTTAATATATTGCCAATATTCACGCATATTATTCATGTCGTTGTAGTCATTCATTTTTAATGGTGTATAATATTCCATTGTGTGAATAAACCAGAGTCTACTGATCTTCTTCCACTGATGGACATATGTTGGTTCCAGGTTTTTTGCTTCTGTGAATATTGCTGTTGGGTCTCCTCTTGCATATATACAAGAATTTGCCTTGGATATTATCTAAGAACTGTTGGGTCATAAAGTATAACTTTAAGAAATGTCAAATTGCTTTCCAAAGCGCATTCCCTCTAGTAATGTATAAGATCCTGTGGATGTACTTTCTCTTCAATATATAACATTGCCAGACTTTTAAATTTCTGTATATCAAATGGGTATGAAGTAGCATCTCACTGTGCTCTTGATTTGCAATTCTCTGCTCATTGTGGTGACAAGCATCTCTTTATATTTCCTTTCCTAAGAAATAGCTATTCATGTCTTCTGTCAATTTTTCTTTTGGCTTGTTTATAGTTTTCATATATCAGCAGCATTTGGAAAACATAATTAAAGAGAAGATATTTCAATACCAGAAATTATCAAGTACCTAGGAACAAATCTAAGAAAAGGGTGTTCAAACCCTCTACAGGAAATTTTCTAAAATTTTATTAAAAGATATTAAAAAAGAGGCCAGCGCAGTGCTGTAGTGGTTAAGTTCATGCACTGCGCTTCGGTGGCCTGGGGTTCATGGGTTCAGATCCCAGGCATGGACATACACACTGCTCATCAAGCGATGCTGTGGTGGTGTCCCACAAATAAAATAGAGGAAGACTGGCACAGATGTTAGCTCAGGGCCAATATTCTTCACCAAAAAAAAAAAAAAAAGACATTAAAGAAGACCTAAATAAATGAAGACATGTACCATGTTAGCGGTAGTGTTAATGTGAAGATGTCAAATCTCCCCAAATTGATCTAAAGATTCAATGCAATTCCAATCAAAATTCCAACTGAGTTTTCCATGAAATTTGGTACTTGGTTTGTTTCCAGCTTTTTAATACTATAAACAAGAGTGCTAAGAACATTCTTGACCTTCCCCCATGCACATATGGGTTTCTCTAGAGTATTAGTGTCCTTATTTTTCTTAGCAACCAACTCCATTTGCATAGATTAATTCTATTTTTAAGATTGGAGAACAGCTGGAAGGAGTCTTAAAAAGTAAAGATCCAACTCTTCTAGTTCTATATATGAGAAATCCAAGAAGAAAAGACTTAGAGGCAGAGCTGGGAGATCTATATGCCAATCATCGTGTTTGGCTATGAGTACACAAAGATGCTAACGTGCTCTCTCTGCCCTCAAAGTGGACATAGACTAGTGAGTTGGTGTCTATGCTCTAACATCTCACTATGAAATGACAGGCCTTGAAGTGAAGGTCCTTCTGCCCTCTATCCCAAATTGCAGTGATATTTAGAAATATACTTCTACATAATTAATCTATTGTTTAATTTAGACTTCTACAGTAAGTCTTTGCTCTGGCAAACTCACCTCTGCTAACATATCTCTGAAATCTTCCCAAGCTCCACCCAACCCCCAGCACAGTGAGGTTTCTGCTAGCTCTGCAGTAAGCTCTTGTACAACATCTATCACATTATATAATAGTTTGTCTCCTCCCCAGACTATAAGCTCTTTGAAGGCAGGGATGATGCCTTGTTCATCTTAGCATCCCTAATGCAGAAGCTGATACTTGTAACTTCCGGTCAGAGCAGAAGCAGGGATACTTATACTCTGTACATCTGAGTTAAGTGAACGCATGTTGAAAACACAGAGCAAAAGAATTTAAGAACACCAAGCTAGACAGTCAGTTAATTATACACTAGTATAACTTTTATAATAGTTTTTAAAGGCCTTTAGACCAGTCAAAATTTCCTCCATCTATATAATCTACACTTGCCCTATGTTACTAATTTACTTCCTTTTCCATCTGTCAGCCCCAGATTATTCTCACATCTATGCTAAAAATGCACAGGCACACCTTAGCAACATCCAATTTTCTCACAAACTTTAAAAAAAGGCATGGCAGGGCTTATTTAATTTTCTCCCAAAGTAAAATGTGTAAGTAACGGCACCAAGAATGGTGTAAACTCACAGAAGTGGTGTGCACTACCAGGATCACCAGACAGGATTTTACAAAATTTCAACCACAAAGTACAGTTTATATCACCAAGACTTTCTCACCAAGTATCAGCAAACTTAATTCCTTCATTAAAAGATAACAAAACAGTACAAGTCCATTCAGTGATTATTCTATAAAACTGGAGGGGGAAGCACAAAATTTTAGCTTACATGGAAGTGAGTAGAGATAGATAGATAGATAGATAGATAGATAGATAGATAGATAGATAGATAGATAATGTCACATCTAAACTCCCAAAGACCGTTTTGGTTTGTTGACTCTCAAGAGCTGGAAAGAACAGCAAAAATCATCTGGCAACCAGAAGTGAATGCAAGCCTCCAGAAGTATTATGAAAAGCACTAACTTTTTGCGTTTATTCAGAATCCCTGTGCTCCCTTTTCCCCCATCATTCTATAAATTCATCACTACTGTAATAAGGTGTGTTCCCCTCCTCCTTCCTTTACCCAGACCCCAACCCTCCAAACATTGATCTGTGCAGCAATCCTCCCAGAGAAGACAGCCAGGCTGTGGGCTCGCTTCCTCTCCCAAGCCCCATTCCTCCCATAGGAAAAAGTCAAGTCCCTGAAATGGACTCCGGGACTCTCTTTCTAAAAGTAGAACCCAGACCCTGGGTCCGCCCCTCCCGCGGCGGCTCCCGGTACGGCCACCTCCGGAGCCCCCCTCAGTCCGGTCCTCCCACTTACTGCTCCTTCCTCTATCCCACACACAGTCCCCTCTTCCCCGCCCCTTTCCCCTCAAAAGCTGCAGCCCCGCCCCCTGCCCTTCACAGACCCAAGAATTAAACATCCGCAGCCGCGTTCCCTTACCTTTAGTCTGCTTTAGTCGCCTCAGCTCCTCCTCAGAGAAGCCAGCCCAACCCTGCGCCATCCTCGCAGGCACCCCCAGAACACCCACACCTCACAGCCCGCACTGCCAACACGGCTACCCAGGCACATCCGGGTTCTTCCCTGGCCGCGGCCGAACAACCAATCAGCGCGTGGAGCTCTGGACACAAGGCCCACTCTCCCGTGCAGCAGGGTCCGGCTCCCTTCAAGGCTGCCTCCGGCGGTGCCGGGCAAACTACCTGAGGAAGTCTCGGCCTCGCGGACATTCGTTTCCCCTGACCTGGCTCTGCTCTCTCTTCTTGTCTCCTGGTCTCGTGGGTTAGTCGCTTCAAGAGATAAGGGGGGAAACAGCGACGGAGATAAGGGTGGAGGTAAACAGGCAGTTGGGAAGTGGCTACGAGTCAGTGGCGGAAAAGGGCGGGCAGAACTGCTTGTCGGGATCTTCTGGAAATTCGCTGAGGCGGGGTCTTCTACCTGACGTGCCTGGAGGGGTGTGCTTCTTGGCTTGAAGAGGTTGTTTTCAAAACTGTGCTTCTGAATCATCCTGCTGATTGACTCGAGGGAATGATCAGATTTGGGCCTTTAATTGAGAAGGAACATTCCAGAGGACTGGGGTATAAGGAATGGAAAGGGAACAGACACGGTTAACAGGATTTCTTTGCCTAGCTAGGTTTCCCGTAGGCCGAAGCGTCTCCCAGTTTTCTGTTGATTGTGGGTTGTTTCCTTGATGTTTTGTGAATGACTCTCGCTAATCTGTAACCTTTCTCATAAGAGATATCTAAGTCTCTCTCCACTTAAAGATGATCTCTCATCAGTTTTTATGTTTAGAGAAGACAATGTAAAACATCGGCGCTGGGGGATGGGAAAACATTTCTTAGGCGTCCCCACCCTGGAGGCCTCGTCTCTCTGTTCTGGTTCTACCTTGAACACTCACCTCTTTGAGCTTCCGTTTTCTCATTTTAGGCAAGATTTCGAAGATTAAAAGATGCAAGTATTGTCAAAGTACATATGGATCAGGATGACTTAAAAGAGATCAGTTACTTCATTTTTCGTGTCTCTTTTCTCTGTTTTGCATTTTTAAAAAATTGTATTTTGGTTTACATTTTAAAATCCCAGGTGTGACTTTTGGCTTTAATCTGTCAATATTTTTGAATAAATTGAAGTAAAGAAGTAGACTGAAAATAAAATACACCAAGAAAAGAATTGGAATGAGTAATTCAGATTTAAATAGATGATCAGGAGGTGAAGGATGTTTGGAATTCCCCTTGTAACCTTTGTAAACTTGTAAACTTAGAAGTGATTTCTGAAATTTAGATGTGCACAAATGGTTCATTTTGAATATGGACTAATTTTTCTTAACACTTAAATATTAAAATGTTATCCAAAAGGGTTGGAGGAGACAGATTCACCCAGTTTTTGAACACAGACGAAATACGTAAAAGACGTACATTATCTAGCACTAAAACAGTAAATGGGGATCAGTAGTTAATTCAGTTTCCCATTTACAGGCACCAGCCATCTTGTATACCCCACGTTAAATTTTATAAGTAAACTTTCTTTAGCTCAGTCTGGGTGAATTTCAAGAATTATCAATAATCTTACAGAAATGGAAATGAAGATATTTTAAAAGGTTTTGCATTAGCCTTGAATGAGAAACAAAGCGTGAGAGGGATTATAGTAAAAGATAACATCTGTATAAAATTATAATTTCCACTTTGTAAGGTTCTAAATCTCCTGTTGTTACTCTTGGCCCTCCCTCATGGTGACTGGTTTCTTCAAATAACGTATAATATTTTACTGGGAGCTTATCTTCAAAGAAGTTCTTTGTTCTGTGAGAGTCCTCTGTACCTTGGGTTGAGAGACTGTCTCTACAGATTGGTTAGAAGTTTCAGTTGCTTTAAACCAGATTTAAGGTAATTTTTTTCAACTTGTGATATAAAGTTGGATCTCACCCACATTGTGATACAGGCCTCAGCTATCAGTTTTGTGTAGGTGCCCTCTTTAAAAAAATATATATGTGTATATCTAATATTACTCACAGGTAGCAGGCTTCCTTACTGCTTTTCCAGAGCAGTAGGCTGAGTTTTTTCTAATTCTCTGTTATCACCTGGACCATCCTTTCCAGGCTCTAAACTTTATTTCAGTGATCTTGTCTTCAAATGTGTGTAGGAATCCCAATCCCCAGCACTTATATTCGGGTAGAGTCCCCCTTGGATTTGCTTTCCATATCACTTCTTGCTTTCTTTTAAGTTCTGTGATGTATTTTTTTCTTTTAAATAAAAATGTATGTTGTATTCAGCATTTTTATGTGCGATGGCAAAAGGGGGTCATCTGTGAGGACTTAAGACTATTATATTGTCTCCAGTTGCTTCTCCACCATAGCAGCTAGAGTAATCTTTTAAAAAACAAAAAGCTAATGTCTGTAGCCTGGTTAAAACTGTAAAATGGCCTCCTGTTGCTCTTTGAATAAAATCCCAGTGCCCACATGAGCCTGCATGATCTGACCCCTGCCTACTCTTACATGGCCATTAGGCGCTCTTTTCTTGTACTCCACACTCCCCATGCTCCAACCAAATTGGCTTTATTTTGGGTTTTAGAACATGCCAATCTATCCCCCCATCCCCTACTGCCCTACCCAGAGCTTTCACAAATGCTCTTTTATTACACTAGAATGATCTTTCCCTTGTGTGGCTGGTTCTTTCTGCTTCAGGTTTTGACCTGAATGTCCACTTAGAGAGACTTTCAATGATCAACCTATCCAAATAGCACCCGTCTTTTATTCCCCATTTCTGTGTTCTTTATTACTTTCGTAGCACTGATTACAACTGCTGAATTATTTGCATTTGTTTGCTTACTTACTTATTTTCTATTTCCCTCTATTAGATAATAATTTCACAAGATCAGGGGATGCATCTTTTTTCACTCAGTGTATAACAATGTTTGACACCTACTGAGCACTTAAATAAATATTGAATAAACTTTTCCAAGTTAAGTATTGAATTGAAACATCTCCAAATTTCATGTATTCTATTTCTAGTATGAATTTCTATGATGGCGAAAACGTTAACCCCATTTATTACTTATTGCTAGTTGCAGCCATAGACTCATTGGTTAGTAAATAAAAAACATTAAAAATAGGTTGAGAAGAATCAACATGCCTTTTTTTTTTTTTTTTTTTTTTTTTAAAAAAATTTGCCCTAAGCCAACATCTGTTGCCAATCTTCCTCTTTATGCTTGAGGAAGATTCACCCTGAGCTTTGCCCTGAGCTAACATCTGTTGCCGATCTTCCTCTTTATGCTTGAGGAAGATTCACCCTGAGCTAACGTCTGTGCCAGTCTTCCTCTATTTTGTATGTGGGTCAACACCACAACATGGCTGCTGATGAGTGGTGTAGGTCTGCACCCAGGAACTGAACCCAGGCCGCCGAAGTGGAGTGTGCCGAACTTAACCACTAGGTCATGGGGCCAGCCCCCTCCATTTTATTTTTTTTACAAGGCCCTTAAATAGTATTTCTGCAATATTCTGTAGTTTTCAGTGTATAGGTCTTGCACATCTTCTGTCAGATTCGTCCCTAAGTAGTTAGTAACATGATGCTATTATAAACAGCATTTTTTATTCAATTTTCAGTTTTTTTGTGTCTACTACATAGAAATAAAATTGATTTGTTTGGGCCCGGCCCCGTGGCTTAGCAGTTGGGTGCGTGCGCTCTGCTACTGGCGGACCAGATTCAGATCCCAGGTGTGCACCGACGCACCGCTTCTCCGGCCATGCTGAAGCTGCGTCCCACGTACAGCAACTAGAAGGATGTGCAACTATGACATACAACTATCTACTGGGGCTTTGGGGAAAAAAAAGGAGGAGGATTGGCAATAGATGTTAGCTCAGAGCCTGTCTTCCTCAGCAAAAAGAGGAGGATTAGCACGGACGTTAGCTCAGGGCTGATCTTCCTCACAAAAAAAAAAAAATTGTTTGTTGATCAACCATGATAAACACACTTTTTAGTTGTAGCAGCATTTTTTAAGGTAGCTTCCATTGGATTTTCCATATGGATGATCATGTTGTCTGCAAACGACTGTTTTACTTCTTTCAATTCTGCATGCCTTTTGTTTCTTTTCTTGCCTTATTGCACTGACTAGACCCACCAGTATAAAGTTGACTGGAAAAAGTGAGATTGGACACCCCGTCATGTTTCTGATCTTAGGGGAAAAGCATAAAGTCTTTCACCATTAAGTATGATGTTAGCTTTAGGGGTTTTTTGGTAGATGCCCTTTATCAGGTTGATGAAATTCTTTTATATTCCTAGTTTGCTGAGAGCTTTTATCAGAAATAGATAATGGATTTTCTTGCATGCTTTTGGTGGGGTCTATTGAGATGATAGTATGATTTTTCTTTTTTATATTGTTAATATGGTGAATTGCATTGACCAATTGGCTGATGTTACAACAATATTGCATTCCTGGGATAAACTCTACTTAGACATAATGTATTACGCTTTTTATATATTGTTGGATTTGACTGGCTAAAATTTTGTTTAGAATTTTTGCCTATGTTCATGAGGGATATTGGTCTGTAGTTTTCATTTCTGTAATTTCTGCCTCATTTTGGGATCAAGGTAATACTGGTCTTACCAAATGAGAAATATTTTCTTCTCTTCAGTTTTCTGGAAAACTTTTTTAACACTGGTATTAATCTTGTTTATATACTCGGAAGAATTTACCAGTGCAGCCATCTAAAGCTTTCTTTGTGGGAAACTTTTTAACTACAAATTGGATTTTTTTTGATAGATATAGGACTATTCAGATGATTTCTCCTTGAGTGACTTTTGATAGTTTTTCTTTCAAGATATTTGTCCGTTTCATCTAAGCTGTTGAATGTATTGGCATAAAGTTGCTCATAATGTTTTCTTATTGTGCAGTAAAGGGTTAACTCAGAGTGTTTGTGATGCTCAAACCCTGCACATTCCAAAGAAAGAACTGACCCTTGACTCGCTTCTGGGAGAAAACCTCTAAGCCCTTGGAATATATTGTCTGATAAGATTGTCGTTATATACCTATGGACTTTGTGCTCATCAGATAGTTTATGCTAGCAATGTGATTTATGGTGAATGCCTCTTTTTATTTACCTAAATT